GAGAAGTATAGACAGAGAACTTAAGGTAGACGGCAAACTAATAATCTAATTTTCTATTTTAAAATAAAATAATCTAATTTTCTGCCTTTAGAATGTTATTTAGGAACTTATCAATTTTATAATTTTTAATTTCAATTCAATGCTGAATTTTGTACTTCAGTTAACCTGTTCTTAATTTAGTTGTAAGTTTTCTAACACGCTACACAAATTGTAAGTCTCATTTTTTCTTACAGTTTTGGTTTTCAATTAAGGAGAAAATATTTTATATTTGTTCGTTTTTACTGTCATTAATGATGGCCTCAACAATAATAAAACAAAGTTCTTAGTTTTATTATTCGAAACGTTCCAAATGAATGTTTAATAAGTTACTAGTTAATGATAACTAGGCAGTATTTTAAAAAATAACAATTAACTTTGTGCCTCATGTTTCATGAGTAGAAATATATTATTAAAATAAGCGATCTGCGATCGATCTGCACTAGCCGTGTAAATGAGCTAACTGTTTAAGCAATCGTTTTTTCTTTCTCTCTAACTTATTTACACTTATCACTCACTGTATCTATGTTTGTGTCATTTGACTGCAAGTGAAAGGAAGGCTTTGTTTTCCGATTTACTGAATACTAGTCCAGGACAATTTAAAATTCTCTTTCCAGTATGAATTGTACTGCTCACTGATGCCAATCGCTTCACGCATATTTCTTAAGTAGAAATGACGACTGTTACAGGGGTTTTATGGACTCTGAACCTCAATCCAGTAATTATTCCCTTCTATTTACACTAACAAATTCATGACACTTATTTGTATAAATGTTTCGCTCTAGATACACGCTCTAGATACACTTTTAATAGACTATAATTTTATCAGTGGATGAAGTAGTAAGTAGGAAGTACGCTTGGCAGTTTCAGTTACATTTTTAATAATGTCGTTTTAAGAGCACTCAAAGTCTAATGTACAAGTTTTTTATTTTACACATCTGCGAACTTTCTTGTATCAAATTTATAACTTCTTTTCTATAGCCTAAAGATTATTTAATGGAACATTTCCAGGTAATTGGAAGTAATATTGATGTAAATGTTCTCTTAAAGTATATTTTATTGATTTAAGCTACCAAGAAAACTATACCAATAGTTCCAAGTATTGATTATTTAATATAGTAACTTCGTATGTATATATATAAATTTTAAATAATTTGAAACTTTGACGTTGAAAAATAAAGTGTTCTGTTCTTTTACTGCAAACGATAACTAGATAAATAGTTTAATTTTGTAAAAAAGCGATATAAATGTTTTAATATGATCTATCCATAAATTGTAAATATATTACTTGTTGTGTGAATAACCCTACGAGGGTCGAACAACAAGTCTAACTTGTTGTGGAATAAAGTCACGATAGAATTGAATCTCATGTAAATAAAGTCACCGATTAAGATTAGAATATCTAAGTTTCACTTAATCTTAGAAAGACACCAACTTTTGTACTCATAAATAGGAAGACCTCATTCACTTTGATTCCATGGTTCCAAGACACTCCCATAATTATCTCCAGGGGTGCTAAACTTTTTGTTATAGACTTTCAACTTCACGGTCACTTAACTGAGAATAAGAAGCTATCATCCAGGTAATTAAGTGTACTGAATAGAGCGAAGCTTATTGACTCAATCATTGTTACCCTTTAAAGTTATAAAGTGATAGTTGAACCCTGTCTGAAGTACTTTTTTAATATATTGGTTGCTGAACCCACATACTAACTGGGATGTTTTAATTCTATTCCAAAACTAGTTGTGCGCATTATCTAAAATCTAGTGGTTAATATCATTATAAAATTATTAACTTGATTTAAAGATATTCTAGCGCTACATACGCAATGTGGAAGAATCTGTGCTGAGATTTTACTCGAGGACAAGGTTGTAGGATTCATAAAGATAGTAGTAAACGATAACTTGAAGGGGGCGAACTATGCATGTGATTAACTTAAACCTCACTAATTGGAATTTGAACTCTATCACAAATTAAGCCCTTAAATATATAACTTAATTAATTGTCGCCGGAAATAAATAAAAAAAGTAGAACACTGATATCAGAACCTTCTGTATGTAACTAACCAAATTAAAGTTAATAGTATAATTTTATTCTCCATTTAAAAAGAAACATAATATATGTAGGCAAATTTAAATGAATGTTAACTTAAAAACAAAAAATATATGGCTAAAAATGTTTTGTATAACGTATGAGGAAAAAATTAAGATAAAATTCACTCTAATGACCAAAGGAAAAGTAGAACAAGTAAATACGAGGGGAGGTCAATAAGTTCGCGGAATGAGCGGGAAGGGGGTTGAAATTTAACACGAAACTATTTTTCCTTTTCAATATAGTCTCCCTTAACCTTAATACATTTTTCGGATCTCACAAATAATTTATTAATACATTCGAAAAAAATTATTTATCTTGGCTATCAAAATAGGCCGAAATTGCGGACTTGACTTCTCAAATATTTTTCACCGCAGCTTTTTTTTCATTTTTGAAAACAAATAATAGTCGCTGGGGACTAAGTCTAGACTGTAAGGTGGGTGGTGTAGTTTTTCGAGTCCGCATCGGTGAATGGCAGCCGTCGCAACATGGCACGTGTGGACTGTTGCGTTGTCGTGCAAAAGGAGCACACCTTTTGACAGCTTTCCTCTTCTTTTTTCTTTGATAGCTTCTTTCAATCTATCTAATAAAGAAGCGTAGTACTGTCCCGTTATAGTCACACCACGATCTTTATAATTGATCAGCAAAATACCTTCTGTATTCCAAAAGACAGTCGCCATGATCTTTCCGGCCGATTGTGACACTTTAAACTTCTTTGGAGGAGCTGTGCCTTTTTTATGCCACTGTATCGATTCTTACTTCGATTCAGGTTCATAGTGGTGAACCTAGGTTTCGTCACCAGTAAAAATCCGGTCCATAACTTCGTCCTTATTCTCTCCACAGAGCTTCAAAAACTGGCGAGAACACTCGACACGATCGCTCTTTTGAAGTGGCGTGAGCATTCTTGGAATCCATCTTGCACTGACCTTAGTCATCCCAAGATGATGATGTAGGATATTAAAAATGCTTTTTTCAGATACTCTAACCATTGCTCCAAGCCGTTTCTTCTTCAACCAGGCATCTTCCAATATAAGTTTTTCTACTTTTGCGACGATTTTCGGTGTGGTGGCCTCAATCGGTCGTCCGGAGCGGGCGTCATCTTCAATGGACTCTCTTCCTTGTTTAAAAAGTCCATGCCACTTGTAAACCATGGTTTTACCAGGGGCAGAGTCCGCGTAAACTGATAACAGCTCTTCAAAAATTATCTGAGCGGATTTTCCTTGCTTGGTGAGGAACTTAATAACGGCGCGGTGTTCAATTTTCTCCATACTCACTGACTTCTTCCCGATTCACTTGTTTGCAGGTCAACAACTCAAAAGTTAATGACCCGATTTGGTTCAAACTTGGTATATATACTATTAATGAGGTGTTGAACAAGTTACTACCTGGACGAGTAAATCAACCCCCTCCATCCCCTCCATTCCGCGAACTTTTTGACCTCCCCTCGTACATATATGGTTTAAATTTTTAAAATTTTCTTGATTTTAACCAAATAAGCATTTTTTTGTACAAAAACCTTCCCAAAAAGCAATACATGTTATATCGCTTATAGATTAAACGCAATCAAGCTTTGAAAGAGTTCACTTACGAGTAAATAGTCTTTTAAAATAATTATCACTTTTTTCATTTCACTGAGCAATGAAGGTATAAGATCTAGAAACAAATAACTGGTGAAGAAAAGCGGGCGAAATCATGTAATAAAATGTAACTGTATATTGCATTATACTTTCATCTAATACTACAACAAGGTATACAACAATATAACTGGCTACCAGGTTAGAACGAAGCTTCATTTCACATGTGACGATCCTTATATTTCACAATTATTAAGCGTCGAAATCTTGAACAATGTACAGGTAACAGATAACGACGTAATGGAAACTACACAAGCATTAATCAAGTCAGGTCCACGCCTATAAGGTTGTATAGGGTGCGCCAGAGAAACTTACTTATTTGAAAGGTCAATAAAAAAAAAAGTACTTCAGTTATTGTTTTAATTTTTTTTTTATTTGAGAATACATTATCCCAATTTTTTTTCTATGCAGTCTTAAAAATGACATCGGATAAATGGTGACCCCCATTGCGCATACACTGATGAAGTCGATTTTTGAAATTCGTGTCCACTCTTCGCAGCATATCAATCGGTATGTTGGCAATGGCGTCGCGAATGTTGTTCTTGAGGTGTGCTATGGTCCGTGGTCGATCGACATAAACCAGGGATTTCAAATAACCCCATAAAAAAAAATCGCATGGAGTCAAATCTGGAGAGCGTGCCGGCCATTGGAAATCGCCTCTGAGAGAGATGAGGCGGTCGCGGAAATGTTGTCGCAAAAAATTCATTGAGTCTCGTGCTGTGTGTGCTGTGGCTCCATCTTGCTGAAACCACACGTTCCTAACGTTCATTTCTTCGAGTCTTGGAAGAAAAAAATCCTCGATCATGTTCCTGTAACGAGCTCCATTCACGGTAACTGCACGTTCGTTTTCTTCAAAAAAATAAGGACCAATTATTCCCATTACCGACACCGCACACCAGACAGTAACTCGCTCACAATTAAGTTGCTTCTTGTGATGCTCACGCGGATTTACATCACACCAATAACGCATGTTTTGCTTGTTGACGCAGCCGGAAATGTGGAAGTGAGCCTCGTCACTGAAAAAAAATAACCGCGTCTTCAGGCAGGTTGTCAATCAGCATTTCACATGCATTTTGACGGGCAACAAAATCGCGTTCAGTTAATTCTTGCACAACAGCCAATTTATAGGGATGAAATTGAAGGTCTTCATGGAGAATTCGTCGAACAGTGGTATCAGAAATTCCCATAGCAGCTGCGTGTTTGCGAGCCGAACGCCGGGAGAACGCTCAACTGACTGCCTCACTCTTTCGATATTTTCCGGAGTTCTGATGGTCCGGTGAAGTCCATTTCTGGGTTTAGCGACACTTCCACACTCCCGAAATGATTTAACCCACGACAGAATCGAATTACGGCCAGGAACGAGTCTGTGAGGAGGAATTTCAAAGCGAGCGCGGAAGGCACGTTGCGTAGCAACAAGTGAGCGACCGTTAGAAAAGAAGCTCTCAACTGCGAAGGCCCGCTGCTCTCTAGACCAGAGCATGATGGCAACTGACTGGAGGTAGAAACAAACTTGGGAACTTCCCCCTCCAGATGCGCCCCCTCTTGCCCCTCTACCCGCCCAACTCGACGCGCGGGAATTTTTTCAAATAAGTAAGTTTCTCTGGCGCACCCTATATATAACTCAGAGAATCTAATTTGGCTAGCTCGACCCGGAGAAGGATTAAATATGTTATAGTGAGTGTTAATATCACACAAGTTTATTGTCTGAAGGGTTTATATCAGAATAATTTTATTATTTTAATGTTAGGTTGGGTTCTATGAGAGAACATTTTATTCATTCAACACGTAGTACATATAACATTAGATGAACTTCTGAGTAAAATAAAATATTACTCCGAAATCTTTTAATCTTAATAGTCTTAGTTGAATATTATGAATACAAAACATCTAATGTAAAATTAAAAAGGGAATTTAAAATGAAAACAGAAGAGCAATGTAACATTTGTATTTACATCGATATTTTTTTGGTATAATCAATATATACCTATATCAATATTAAACACGACTTAAATGCTGTGAAACAAATTTAATTTCATACTGATGAAATTATAATTCAGTAATATTTGGGCAAGTAGTTTTTGTGTTGTGATTACATAAATTAAAATTACGAAAATAATTAATTACGTAAATTTAAATTTACGAAACGATAAATAAACCATCTTCAAATTGTTTTTTTTTTAAGCTAGAACAAAGAATCCAGTTAAAACCTTTTTATATTATAAGCATCTAAGACTAAAACTGAGTTCGTTTTTCTAGACACATTGAGTTTATTAAGACTTAAATATAATTTTATTTTATTCGTAAACAAACAAAACAAACATACAGATATTTCACATATTGAAAGTCGTATTGATGGTTTCCGCCTTCTGTTATGGATCACGGAATTAGTTCGGGTCAGGAAATTTGGCTGTAACTCCGAAATGTTTTACAAGCTTACAAATAACAATACCTCATACAATATTATAATACAAAGAATAAAGCCTTTGACACATTAATATTGTAACTGATTTTATTACATATTTGAAAGTTTAAAGTATAATATTTATTACAGCATGCCTCAACAGTTTTAAACAAATAATATTAATGAGTACTTTAATGTTTTACTTGGCTTATACATCTGTCTTTATCATTTGAAGCAGCTATGATCATTATTAGATGCTGTCTGGAGTTCCGTCAATAAAAAATCAAATATCTAACACAATTCAATATAATTATAAGGCTGCAAAAATTCCATTTCCTTCGCTGACTTATAAATAAAAAAATATATATCTAGAGTTATTAAAACTTATAATAATCTAAAAAAAAATTAAAATACATAATCAAATAATTAATAATTTGAGAGTGGCTGTCTATTTTGCATTAATAAGCTTTTCTATGTAATTTTTTAACTCTTTCTAAGTCAGAGTATTTTATATCATTATTATGATTGTTATTATTAATAAAATTTTCTTAATAATTTCTATTTGACAGAAAATTCACTTTTAAAATAAAAAGCCCCAAAAGAAATATTAATTTTGTATACCGTGTTTAAATATATTTAAAAAATTGTGAATCTAAAAATATTGTTAAGTTTTAATATATAATATTATTTTTAATGATTTTTCCTTTAATGAAATATACATATTTTATTATGTTTAAATCACTTTATTGACAAGTTGCGAACTATGTATTTTAATATGAAATAAAGCGTATAATAGTATTATAAACAAATGTAGATAAAATTTGTTAAATATGTGCTGTAAAGCAACAAATATTTTGTAACATTAAGTTATTGTGTTGCTTCACTTTCTATTTTGAAACCTAATAATTGAAACGACGTAAGTGAAATTTCTGCTCCATGTAAGCAGCCAAAGTTTTTAAGCAAACAATTTCTTATTAGAGTTTACGTATTGAACTGAAGCTGTATATATTAAAAGATGTGTATAGTAATTATTCAATTAAAACATATTGAAGAATAAGCTTTTTTCCTTTCAAATTTACTTCATTTATTAACGCTGAAAATAAAAATACCATAAATAATTTAAATATTCAGTCAAAAATTCATAAAAAATAAATTCAATATTTAATTTGATTATTAATAATTTTAAATAAAAGTAACATTTTCAGATATCCTATAAGTTTCTTATGAGTTTAAACTACTTACTCCTTACGTTTCAGTTAGTTTTACAGCAACCGTAATCACGGACAGACGTGATAAAATAAATGTCAATTGTTCTTGTCATCTGTTATCTGCAGCCAATGATTTCTTAATTTCTTAGCATACCACTCCAGAAGCAGAATGCTCTTACTTGATCTTGAGGTCCTGTGGTCTCTTCACGGACATGAGATTTTATATTTCTTAAGAGGGGATCGTAGGAGTTAGATACATTCCAGACATTTTCTCTATAGAAATTGGGATGTTTCTTTTATTTCAATAGCCTAACGGCTTATTATTGGTGTGTACATGTCTTTACGAGCGAGGGTCTGAGGTTTATCACACCGAATGTAGTGGGCTAGTTTGTCCATTGTGTGGTAACAAATTGCTGACTTCGACGGTTGCCTATTTATAAGCTAATTATCTCGAAAATCTAATAATATATAATACCACTAGAAGACCCGGCGAACTTTGTATCGCCCTATAATCAAGAAATATTTGTTACGTTTTTTATTTGTATTTTTAGAGTTTACCTATTAAAGCCATAAATCTCCGTGTTTTGAAGTGAGACAGAATGATTGGCATATTAGTTAGTTGTCAAATCTAATGTCAAAAAAAAACGTTTGTATCAACAACTACTAATAAATTAAAAATTTATTAAAAAACATTGTCCAGCGGACAAAATTGTGAATCTAAACCATTCCCAGATCCCCTTGAACACACACAAAAAATTTCATCAAAAACGGTCCAGTCGTTTGAGACAAGTTCAGTTACATACACACTCACAGAAAAATTATATATACATATAATGATATCGCTAATATTTTTGAAGCCCGTTTTACTTTTGTACTTCCATAGTATATACTTATACTTCGATCATAATTGACTAAAAACAAATATCATATCTATACGTCCTTCCTAAATGAAATGAAAAAACATTTTGAATATACGTGTACAGGAGCTAAACTAATTATTTGACTCCCTTTTGTATTCCGAGTAAATATTCTTGTATACTTTTATTAAAACCTCCCTTTTAAAGTAACTAAATATTGCAACCATTAACCTACATACTAAATAAGCTCATTTAGCAGAAATTTTTGGTTCCCTTACCTTTTATTTAAATATATTATAACTTAAGCTTATGCTCATATTATATAGGAGAATAAAATTTTGTAATTGATTCATTTTATTAATATGTATTTATAGCTATAAATAGTATCATAACAAGCTATTAATATTGGTTATTGTGTTTGACAACATAATACAGCCCCCTCATAAATTTTCATGTCTATGATTCTATGTAACCTTACATGCTAAATCTGATATCTGTAAGGACTCCCAAATATAGTGTATATGCTATCAAAAGCTTTAAGCTAATACAGCTTTGAGTCATCTCCTGTTCTACTACTATTACCGCCTTAAAAGAGACTAAGTTTTCAGGACCTCCACAGTGTTGAGGAACTAAGTTTATAAAAAAAATAAACATCTGTAACACAGATTCTAACTGATAAAAAAAGAGAGATTTTTAGGTGGTAGAGCCTAACTGTGGTAGGTCACTACAGTTCGAACATGGGCTGGCTCGACCGGGAAAGTACCACCCTCCCACAGAAGATCGGCGTGAAGTAGCCTTCAATGGCTGCGTTTCGTCTGATGAGTGGGAGTTGCCCTTTCCCTTTCCCTTTCCCCACCCTTCCCTCTCCCGGGATATTGATGTCTCTGTTGACTCTCTGTCCTACATTTGTCGAAGTCTGTTTTGGGATGCTGAGTGTGTTTCATTGGCATAGGGTCCAGGGAGACCCGTTGAAACGGTTTACCGCTGGCCACCCGTTGGTCCGTAGGGGACCCAAACCTAGACTGTCCCGATCTAGGAGGCTGTCCAACCGCCAATGGCATTGTTCTTTGACAGGATAGTTGATGGGCTATCAGCATCCTTCCTTCACTCCCACTTCCTGAACAAATCTTTTCTTTAAGTTTTTCACCAGGATGACACCAGGTTATGAAACTATAATAACAGTGATATTATGGTAATTATTTAGGATCGAAAAATTAACTAAAAGTGTTTGAGAAAAAAACTATTTAGGGTGCTAAGATAAATTAATAGTAATCAAGACATCCGACTATATTTTTAGATCTTCTGAAACACTTTAGGGAAGACATACTAAATAATATATACATATTACACGTTTAGGAGAACCAGTGGCCCTGCCACATCACCCTACTTTGATCAAAGCCTATCACTTTGTGATATGTTCTGATGTTAGCTATAATAAAATATGCTATAAAATAGACTTAAACACAAAGAAACCGTTTCAGATTATATATCAATAAAGAAAATCAAAAAAACAAATCAAAAAATATCTCTGAGGCAACCAATGAGTTGATGGCAAATCTAAGGCATCTAAATTACAATCATGTACAGATTAAATCGATATAATAAAAATTGTTATTACCGCCGTAACCGATAAAATTTATTTACTGAATTTACTGAAGAAGCAGTAGGATTCACTCGTTCTCTCTCGTCCATATTCATTAAGAAGGTAGTATTATTATAGTCAAACTAATCCATCAACAACCCATAAGCCATTATCGAAGTGATTAGATGTTTATGTTGAAAAGTTGAACTTATTTATACATTTATATAATGTGTCTTATTATTATTTATATATTTATATAGTTGAACTTATTTATGTATTTATATGTATAATGTGTCTCGTAGATAAAATGACAGATATAAACCACGAACTGAAAGCCAAAAAGGCACCGGGTTCAGACAACTCTCCGAACAAAGTCCTGAAAGTCATTATATACATATATCATTTACCTAACCATAATCATATACAACTTACTACTGGATATACATATGTATATATGTATAAAATCTCTGAACAACAGAAGGTGGTTATCGTAATAGGTACATTTAAACTAGGTTAACCAAGTAACTTCTTAACCTGATAAACACATACAACTTGTTATTTCAGGAAATCCGGTAACCATAGAAATCACATCTCAACGATAGATAAGAGACATCCCATCATTATATCCCGATAACAAAATAATTGAAACTTTGCATAGTGAGGTCTGGCTTGCCATACCTCCTTCTGCAAGCAGTTCTTAACGGCGAAAGAGGCTGTTTGGGGAAGCAGAAGCTGATCTACTCTTCCAACAGGTGGTTAGAAGGAGGTGGGTTTTTGGCTCCATATTTAGAGCTAGAGTGAGAGCTTAATTGGTACACTCAGTCTTTTTAGGTACGAATGTCTTTCATTTCCACTACTCTATAATGTTTACTACAAGTTTATTAATACGTACATCTTTATTCTTAATATATTTATCTTAATTTGCATCTGTGATAATAATAACTATATTAGACCTCTTAACTTCTTCTAATAACTAAACAAGTTTATATAGGTCATCATTATTACTTGCCTTAGGCTAAGCAAAAGCTTATTAGCTTTGTGTATAATAAACCTGATAGAAAATTTACACGTTACCTTATAAACCATGTTACGTATATTTAATCAAGTAAACAAAGTACGATGCTAACTGGAGGAATATGAAGGTGTAGTTTGTGAGATCGAAGCAAAATCATGTTTTTAAATCACCAATTCAAAGAACTTACAAACTTATTTTCATTGGCTAAAAACAACTTTATTTACAATTTCCAGTGCCATCGTTCATATGTAAATTATATTTTATGTATATTATAACACATAAATCACATTGGTACGAGTAGTTGCCAAGATCGAAACCGCGCCCTCGTGCATGAGAGGCGGGTCTTTAAAACCACTAGGCCACCACTGACTTAATTCTTATTATAATAAATATAAGTAAAAAACATAAGTATTTAAAAAGATTTTTTTAATGGGTATTTAATTGTTTCTTTGAGTATAACATTAAAAAAAAATGGTACTGTGAAAAAATATGGCTTGAGTCACGTTCATATTGCTTAATTACAACAAGAGTTGCATTTTGGATGCAAACATAGTTCCTTAAGAAGCTTCGCTGTTAGTGGAAACGCGGAAAGTTAGATTAAATACAATGGTAACAGCTAATTAGGACAAACGTTCTGTAAAATTTGAATACAAAGTTTGCTGCATACAAATTTGATACTATCATGATTTTCAGTTCAAAAGATAAAAGAGAAATTGGAAAGGTTTAAGTAACATGAAAATAACTAAATTTTTCGTTTTTAAATGTATACATATATGTACATTAAATAAATACGGATATACAATAATAATTATTATTTTCCTTTTATTGTTTTTCAAACAAATCATTATTTGAGAAGTAATTTTAAGTTTTCTGCAGAACGTTAACAGCTTTTTCATTATACTTTATTACACAATTTTTCTATTACTTAAGATGATATACACACTTTATTTTACTAGCAAGCTGATAATCAATTATCACTTAATATAATTTTAATCCGAAAAACATATTACATAAATGCCTTTATGTACATTATTACTACAAACGGTTTTAGAAACTCAGTGTGAAAGCTTTTGTTTCTAGCCGTAATTGAATTATTATCCCCATGAGCTTGTCGAATTACTCTAACTAATCAAAATAGATGAACTTTCTTAAACAATGAGTCTAAATCTTGCATCTTATAAAGGCATTATATTCAGTAAAGTAATCAAGACGAATAAATTATTCTTAATTTTGCAGCCGTTCATCGCCCTTGACGACCTACCTGGTGACAAGTATATAAATTCATTTTAATATTATATTAGATTACATCTCCTCCTTGGGAGAGGCCTATGTCCTGCAGTGGGCGTCTTTCGGCTGATGATGATGATGATGATGACATCTCTTAAATTTTTAATGTACTCATTATTATACCATCTACATTTTTGTGATCCATATTTTAAAGTACTTTTAACTGTGTCGAATAAAGGTGGGATGGATTTAATTAGTCGACGATTTTTAATTTTTATTTGGATATTTGAGACTATCTAAGTGATTGTAAGAGTTTTTTTTTATGTTAAAGGTAGCAAACGAGTAGACCGGTTTACGTAATGGGCAACAGTCAACATCTGTCGTGAAATGAATATCAATTAATTAGGTTGAATCATTTTATAACAGACAACGTATAACATTTGGAACTTAATTTGGATATAACATACATATGTATATATGTATGTAAGTAAGTATAAAGTGTAGAAACTTCAACAACAACATCATACAACTTCTCTAGGTAATTAATGTATTATGTGTATTAATTATTAACTTAATGTGTATTATGCGTTTCCTTCATTGTTGGAAGACAGATTTAATTACATATAAAACTTAACATTATGTTTTATTTATAGTGAATCTAGAATGCAAATACATATTAAATTTCACAAACAAAATTGAAATATTGACTTTTGTACTAATCTATTCAAAAGACAATATTAATATAAAATATTTTCAGATGCTTGTACATTTTAGGACTCAATTTTTTTGTATATAATTGATTAATCAGTTTACTACATAAGCTTTTCTGCGCACAGGATTTAGTCATTTAGGTTTTAATTTTAGTGAATATGAAAATAAATAATTTCTTAACGAATCCTGCATTTTATATCAAATGAAATATTTACGATCATTTCACAAGAAAGTATTAAACTATTAAGTTTAGGCCTCCTGAAATTTTTATTTTACAAAAATTGCAAGATAAGAGTGATCTCTCAAAATAACAATGAAAATGTAAATGAAATCTGACTGATTTATATATATTGAAATTTCTTTTTATTTTCACTAGGAGATAAGTTCTTTGTTGTAGATTATACTTTTGATAATTATGTATAAATGGAAGTCTATCAGCTTAAGTAATTAGTGGAAAAAATTGTAACATTTGAGGTCGTACTTTTATGAATAAATAATATATAACTGCTTTTCTTATACATTTAATAAATAAAAAGGCATTGTATTAATGTAATGCAAGGAGTGATAAAAATGTAACACATGTTATGAAAAAAACTTTGACGTCGTACATGGGTACATTTATATAATAACGTAACTTTCTTTAATAAAACAACCCGTCACTCAACGAGTTCATGAAATTAGCTTGTGAAAGATCTTTTTCATGGCGGATAATGAAATGGTACATTTTATTTGTAATTCATAATATTTTCATTAAAAGTATTTATATATCAAAATTTATTCAACGCCTATTAATAATTTCACGCAAAAAACAAAGATTACTCTTTAAAGCTATAGGTTTTTATTCATATCTAATTATGTATATATTTCCTTTTAAAAGTTTAGGATATTTTTTTTTGTTTTTGATACAATTTTAACCGGTAAAAATCAAATCCCAACTCTGTATCCAAAATTGTTTATTAAACTTCTTCCGCTATATTTAACTAGTACGTATAACAAAATTTTATATGACCAAGATTAACTGGTAGATTTTAAAAGAGGCCAAAATGTATAATAACAATTTGTATAGATTTGAAATGTCTGAAATTTATCGGTCTTAAAAAAATTTAATAATAATATGACTTACAAAGCCTTATTATTAGCTTTGCTTAAGCTATTGTAGATATTTTTTATAGGAGCCTGTGTTTTAAAAAAATATGTATCCCTGTAACAACTTTAATTGTCTTATATGTATATCATCATACATTTTTTAAATTGTAACACACTCGTATAGCGCAAACATTGAAGTTTTTAAAATACGCGTTGAAGTTTTTAAAATAAATAAAAAGTATTCTGGTGATTTATCACCAATTTTCTATTATTGTATAGTATGGTTTACCATACCATATAATTTCCTAGTTAAGAATACAGGAATAGTATAAAATATTATGAACATTGAAAATGTTCGTTTCTTAACTTTCTTTGATTTTTAGATGATTTACTTATTGACTTATTTGATTGTTAGTTTTGTCAACTGTTGTCTTTGAAACACTCAGAATTATTATGATTAAAATATGGTTTTACTGTTAATTATACATGAACCAATTTCTTTGCAAAATTCTATCGAGACCATGAAACAAAAATGTGAAAAAGATTGTAATGTTAATTAAATCAGTATTTTTATAAGGAAAAACTAGTGTCTATGATAGATATACACACTAATTGAAACAAACTGTAAACTTTTTATTTTGCACATTCGAATATTTTCTTAAGAAATATTAATATTTTTTATTTTCAGTAAACTTATTTTTATAAAAAACAAATTAAAAGATAATCGTTTAAGTGATTGTAACAGTTTTATTGTAATAAGTAGATTTAGTTGTTATTTATACGACTCCATTGGTGCACGGTTAACTCGAAAGAGCTTCGACTTGACTATAACTCTTAGCCTTATTGGTTTTGACAGCGTCACCGCGAGAGAGGGGTGGCCCCGATACGACATACTCGTTTGAATCGGACACAAATGGCCCGGGGATAAATCCCATCCCATCCCAAGGATGCCTCTAGGATGCTGGACCTCGACTTTGGGTCTCGTTTACGGGGAGGCTGGCATCGGATGATAGGACTGAATAAAGCCCCCCGAAGACAGAACGCCGGACCAACGTGTATGAATCGGGACCTCGTCTTCGACAGCGAGGCGATGTGTGTGTATATGTAGTACTGGTGTGTTTTGAGACATTTGTGTTTGTACTGTCAGTCGTTTCTTTATTTTCAGGGTCTAGGTAGAGTGTTTGAGATGCCTAATCTTTACATATAAGGCTTGAAACGCTCCGACAGCTCCCAATACGCCAGCGTGCTGGCACATTGGTAGCATGAGAGCCTGCGGAGTGCTACGGGTGGCCCTTACCTTGGTGGCGAAAGTCTACACCTCTGCGGTGTATGAGACTCGTGAATTCAAAGATCGGTCAAGTTGGTCGTTACGCGCGTGCCTGGGGCTAGGATATCCTAGATGTGCTGGGGTATCTTCCCGTTGTCGTTCACAATGTAACGCTAAACCTTTGCCAAACATTAACTTTACTCAGGACGGGACGGAACCTTTGGAATCTTACGGATTCTAAGTAAAAGACTGTCTTACCTTCCGGGGTAAGATATACCTATGTGCACAAGAACCATCCTGAATGGTTTTTTGTTTGTTGGTTTATGCATACAAAGCACTTCCAATACCGATAGCTTTTGGGACTGAAATATTAAAGAGGCTCTTGCTTCTTTAATATTTCTCCCTCCCGAAAGAGCTTGTGTTGTCCTGTTATAATAAGTGTTATATATTATAATCTTTTCTTGGAACAAGTAATGTTAATAGTTATATGATTCATATTACCTGATAATAAGAGTTTGTAGTGAAAGATCCACGATACAGTTAGCAATCGATAATATTGCTACTAACAATGTTTTTATAGACGTTTGTTTCCACAGTAAAAATATATTTTCTCTATTCTATTTACATAAATGTAATTAGTTTATAAAAATAAAACAATGTTCATATTATTCTTAGAAGCAGTGGCGGGGCAAGACCTAAATTTGATGTGGGCAAAACAGATTTCGCGAGGCCCTATTCTATGGCAACTTGAAGCTCTTACTACTTTTTTACCCTTAAAGCTTTGGTTTCCTTCAAAAGATATTATAAAGCGTATTTTGTATACAAGTAATTACTGCGTTACATACTTATCTATTACCAATTAAATATTTCTTACTTTATGTAAAATAGACGAATACAGGTACCGGTGTAATTACAAATCACAAAGAAAACAAAAACAAAAAACGTCACTATTTTCGAGGGCAATCAATATACTTAAACACTATCTATTTATTCGCTAAATATATAGGGTGTCCCAACTAGAACGCAATTTTTAAATTTTAAATAAAACACAGATATTAAAAAAATATATCGTGAAACTTTATTATATCGTAAAGTAGATAGAATGAGGTTATGTATGGAACAAGATATCGTGCAGATGGCCGCCGCGGCTTTGCAGGCACACGCGCGAACTTTGAATGAAATTTTCTAGGACCGTTTTGAATAAATACTGCGGTATTTCATTAATACAGCGTCCAATTTCCTCTGTTAAGGCTTGAGTCGTCGTCGGCTTATTCGCGTGAACCATCGACTTCAAAAAACCCCAAAGAAAATAATCTAAAGGTGTTAAATCGCACGATCTAGGCGGCCTATTCTGGTCTCCAAAACGGGAAATAACATGACCAGGAAATGACTGATGCAGCAATTGAATTGTTTCTCTGGCTGTATGACATGTGGCGCCGACTTGTTGAAACCACATGCCGTCCACAATCATTTCTTCGATTCTAGGCAAGAAAAAACTGGTAATCATTTCACGATATCGAACACCATAGACTGTTTGCGTTGTTGTTGTTGTCTTTACATCACTAACAGACTCAGTTTCGGTAAATTTATTCATTAATCTCTTTACAGTTGACTCTTTTTAACTAATTTGCGAACTGTAGCCGCAAAACTTTCACCATTTTGGTAAAACAATTTTACAATGAAAATGCGTTGTTCATTCGTGTAGCGCTCCATTTTTACAAACCTTGTACCTTCTACAAGCAAATACTAACAATTGTTCAAATGTCAAACAATGGCACTTAAAATGGAGCCAAAGATAAAAATTGCGTTCTTGTTGGGACACCCGTTATTTAATATATATTATTAAAACATTGAACACATTATTCTTATTAAAATAGGTTTAATTAATTCTGATTCACAAAGAGGTTTGATGTCAGGCAGGCGACCGGTCGTAAAAACAAATAGCCAAAACTAAACACAACATGTAAGGCAGACCCTGGCTATAGCTGGGAAATTGCCAGGAAGAAGAAGAACAAGATTTTTTAATTCTCGCTTTAAATTTTTTTGAGGCGCGAGGCCCCTTGTACCGCGAGGCCGTAGGCGGTTGCCCACGTCGCCCACGCCTTACGCCGCCACTGCTTAGAAGTTAAATGAGGTTATTTATATAAACTCATAATTGTAAGAATTTACAATAGAAAACTGAAGAGACGATTTTCATTAATTACTTGTGTTCTCAATTAAACATGTTTTTAAAAGAAATTTAATATTCTAATTTAGGTGTGAAATAAAATTATTAGAAAAATATTTTTCAGTAAATTTCTTGGTATTCTTAGCATATTATTTTTTTATATTAAGTCATTTTAAAACTGACATTATAATAAGGTCGATTTAATTCAAATTGACACTTAATGCACAAATTCTACCTCTCTCGAATGTATTGTACAGTGAACGGTATTAGAATGGCTTAAATGATACATGACATAAAATAAAAAAATATATATAAAATTAATGATTCGTTCAATCAACTTATTAAGATTATATTTATTAATCATTATTCAATTGAAGCATTTTTAAATAATATATAAGGATAAAAATGTATTTGAATCTGGCATCAGTTTGCTTAACAGAGCAGAAACATAAGCCGATTGCTTTATAGTGTTTGATAAGCAGTCACACGTAAAGATATGAACTGCTTACAGTGACTAAATAGTTTAAATTAATATTGAATAGTAAGCTAATAAGGGAAGGGAATAAATAAATTTTTATATACAGCTAACATCGTATAATAAGAAAAAGAATACCTTTTTAAGAAAGATTAATAAAATATATTACCACTCACGTTTACTGGTTATATAATGTAAAATGTGTTTGAGGCTCATTATATCCAAAGTTTTGTAATGTTATGTAACAGGCAATTTTTCCAAATACAATTTAAAAAAACTCAAAATAAAATCCCAGCCCTTATCTATATCGCCTTTTCGTTTTGTATTAAAGAAAATAAATTATATTGAACCCATGTTACGGTACTTCGAATTTCATGTACCATCAGTTTTCCTCTTAGACTTTGGGAATCACTTAATTTCATAATGCACGATTTTCTACATGTCTTGGGTACTAAAGTTATATTTGATAACTAGCTGTGTCCGCGACTTCGTTCGCGTGGAATAGTGACTATGAGCAGCGTTTTTTTGACATAACTTTTTTATTTATGAACCGATTGGCATGAAACAAACACTAAAGCATAACTGAAGCATACCACAATATATTCGTGAAAACTGTATCCAACTCGGATCAGCTGTTTCTGAGATTAGCGTGAACAGGCAAACAGACCAACAGACAAAAAAAGTTAATTACATTTTTGGGTTCGACATCGACATAACAATAGACCCGCCTTTTTTTTTTATTTTTATTTTCAATGTACAGACAGCACTTTTCTACAATTTTATTATATGTATAGATATTATAACATATTATGTTCATACGTAACCTTTTACCTACGTCAGAAGTTTAAGTTATTTTTTGTCTCCTCAGATATGAAATAAGTAACGCTGTCCGAAAATTTAGAATATGTTTTCTATGAAGAACAGAACATTTCAAAAAATTTAAACAATACTAATTAATTAATACACCAAACTTTAAAAAGAACCCAAAATGATTCCCTTGAAAACGAATAAAGTAGAGAGTGGAGGTACAACAGTTTTGAAAGATAAATCTTTATGTGACTGTTATCACACGAGCCTTTTATAAAGTTAAGCCTTAAGTATTTTGCGGTTTTCCGAAGTTTTATTAAAAACTGCTATTACTGACAACTAAAATTCCATAATTACAATATATTTCGTTTCTTTTAATATCTTCTAAAAAATCCTCTATTTCCTTCAAGAAACTTTTTTCCCAAATATAATCCAATATATAATAATCTATCTTTTTTTAACCAAATATACTAAAATACATATATGGTCGACTATCAATAAAACATTTCAAGCAGAGTTTTTATATCTTGTTCTTTTTCAGTAATTTTATTTAATTTATTTATGCGGGCTGGTATTAGCGGTAACTATGTTAATTATACCGTTTATTGTTACTTAATTACTAATCTTGAACCTGAGCTAGGCTGTAATAAATTTTGCAACTAATCGACCACACAAATGTACATACCTACTTACTATGTACGTTCGAAAAAAGGCTGAAGACCTCATAACCGTGATGAACTAAATCTATATTCACTTGATACTTCTTATCTCATTTTAATTAATGAAAGCACTTAATACTTATCTAATGAATGATTGTGTAACGCGTCTAAATTTAAGAGTATGCTGCGGCCGCAGTCGTTTGGCGATTTATAATAGTTATGAAACATTTATATATTCCAGGTTTATTTATTTAGAAAGGTTTACAATAAAAACATTAACACAAGTAATAATATTAAATGCGAGCTGTTGTACTTTCGAAAATCCGAACAGCTTCACTAAATGAACTAAGAGTGTAAGGAACGAAATTTCTCAGCTCTTAATAAAAGTAAAAGGGCAAAATTGTACCAATTAATTAGATGTTCAATTACCTATATGGGTTCTTCTCTGCCCTTGTACGAATAAAAGTGATTCATACTATTTAGACAAACTCTTTTTAATTAAATTTAGGTGAAACATAATAAAAGTAAATGTTGATGTAAGGAACAAAATGATAACGATATTTTGGTTATAGATTCAGATTACCGAGATCCATGCTTGTATTAATAAAGCAATTATAAAAATGACCTAGAATACTATACATAATGCTTTGAAAGAAATCATCATGTAATATACTTATTACCTAAAAAATATTTGCCATCACCATTTTCTCATAGATACAAATGGCTTATTCAGGAGAATATATTGCCTTACCTTTGTAGTTAAATAAATTGTAAAAAAAACGTTTATGATTTGTTATACAACAATTCATAAACAAACTGAAATTATAAAGAAACATAATAACTTTAAGAATTCGTTTTAAATGAAAAAACAGAAATACTATTATTCTCATATAATTTTATAATATAAAATATTGATAATAATTTAATTTCTGGTACTAAACATCATATTATGTAAGTGCCGAAATTCTCTAATCGCTTCCAAACTACACCAGGTTAAAGAGGGAACTAACAAAATGTAAGTACATAATGAACACATCTGAATATCACGTTGTGTTTAATTTCATAATTGCAGAAAGTACGTGTTGCAGTTACGTAACATGCGGAATTGTATTGAAATGAAACATTAGGTCGTC